AGTGCTCCATATTATATATGCTATATGATTCATCACGCGCATGAAAGTGCTGGGCGCGTTCGATAACCCAAACGGCATCACCAACCATTCGTATAAGCCATCTTTTGTCTTGAACGCTGTCTTCCACTCGTCCCCGGGTCTAATCCGAATCTGATGATACCCACTTCGAAGATCGATTTTTGAAAACAGCTTCGCACCTTCCAGCATATCCAACATATCGTCAAGCCGCGGAATGGGAAAACGATACTTTATGGTAATCCGATTTATTGCTCTACTGTCGACACACATCCTCCAGCTGCCGTCTTTCTTCTTCACTAGTAGCACAGGCACCGCACACGGGCTCATACTCTCTCTAATAAACCCCTTTTTCAGCAGCTCCTCCACTTTCTCTCGCAAAACCTCACATTCTTGCGGATTCATCCGATAATGTGGCAGATTTGGTAGGCTAGCACCGGGCACTAAATCAATGTGGTGCTGAACGTCTCTCATAGGCGGCAACGAATCCGGTAGGTCATTGGACACCAACTCGTCAAACTCCGTAAGTAACGGTTGCACACTCTTAGGAATTTCGACGGTTTGTTTATGAACCTCCTCTTCCTTTTGAATTCCCAAAGACCTCATCATCGTCACGTATACTCCGGCTGCTGATTCGACATCTTTTATGAATTCGCTCTCAGATTGGGAGACCACAAAAACTGGTTCTTTTTCCGCTATTCTGGCAGGCTTGACCGTCGACTCCGATCGGGGTAACATCACAATCTTGCGCCCACCCCATTCAAATATGCATGAGTTTTCTCTCCCCTGATAGGTCATATTAACGTCGAATTGCCAAGGCCGACCGAGTAGTATGTGGCTAGCATCCATGTCTATCACGTCGCATGACACCTCATTGGCATAGTTCATTCCTATTGAGATAGGCACACGACACACTTCTGTCACTTTGACTGTTGGTCCTCTCTGAACCCACCCAATAGTGTAGGGGACTGGGTGTTTTTCCACCGGTAACTTCAAATAATCTACCAATCTTCTCGCAACAAAATTTTCACAACTACCATTGTCAACTATCAGATTGCACACCTTCTTATTAACTGAGCACTGAGAACGAAATATGCTATTTCGTTGGTTTTGCTGCATCGCCGTACAAAGAACTCGTTGCACCACGCAGTTAACTTGCTCTCCATTCTCCTGACTATGATATTCTGCCGTATCCTCTTCTTCTTGAAAAACGTCTTCATCGTAACCTTCTTGATCACTCTCGCCTCTCTGCTCCGACCCACCTACTAAGTTCACGGGTCTTCTCTCAGGGCACTCGTTAGAGCGGTGCCCAGGTTTGTGACATCTAAAACAGTTTCCAGGGACTGGTCTCGCATAAGGATTGTTTGTTCGAGGCTGAACGGGCGTGCTCGAACTACCGGCACCGGCTCTCGTCTGGATCTGTGGTGCCCGTGTTGGCGGGGCAACAGGATTAGGGTTTTGGGATACGAACTTACCCCTATCAACCGACGGTGGTGCATAATTTGGCGGTCTACGATAATTATTCACGTTGTTCCGTCGCTCAAATTCTTCTGCTCGCAATGCCATACTCTGCGCATCCTGGATGGTATAAACTGGCTGCAAACCTATTCGGTCACGGATATTAGCTTTCAACCCGTTCAAATACCTGGCCACTTGCTGGTTCTCCGACTCCCTTAAATTATTTCGATCTGCCAGCTTCAGGAATTCTGTGGTGTATTCGTGTATAGATCTACTACCTTGCGAACAATTATGGTATAAATTGTATAAGTGTTGTTCATAGTCGGCCGGTAGGAATCGATCGTGAAGAAGCCCCTTCATCCTCCTCCAAGACTGCACTGGGCCCTTCCCTTGTCGAGTCCGTGATCGCTGCAACTGGTCCCACCATACAGCCGCACCACTTTTCAACTTGTACGCAACCATCTTGACCATCCTCTCGGGTGGGGTGTTCATCACATCAAAAGCACTCTCCACTTCGACCACCCAATCCAGAAAATCCTCTATGGAGAGGTTTCCATGGAAAGGTGGAATCTCAGCCCTTGTCGGATACTCGTCGTACTGCCTTTGTCCCTGCCTAGGTTGATTTCCGTCGGCTATTGCTCTGTCGTTCTCATCCAAGTCTTCGTCACTGTCCGGGTGAAGATATGGTTGGTTATGAATCTGATTCCTAACATGTGCACCTCGGGCTAATTCCCCAGCGCGCGCTATATTAGGTTCGCCCCTCCTGTTGTTGCCATTGAGGGCAATTCCCTGTAGCAACTCCCGAAGTTGTTGCAGCTCACCTCGAATCTCTACTCGAAATTCCTCTATAGTCTGTCGAGATTCTTCTCGAGCGAGCTTGACTGCTGCCTGAATGTTATCAACCTCGAGGTCATCGCCATCGCGGTTGTCGTCTCCTTGTTTCGCACCTTTCGCCATCTAACCAGGAAAAACCTCGCTACTGATGCCAACTGACGCAGAACGGAAGCACGGTAAAGAATTAATTTCTATGAATTAATCCTATCGAACACGGTAACTCTGGAATCCACCAGATAATTGAGAGAAAACTCAAAAATTTTATTAATAATGAAAGATGCTGAAAAATAAATCCTAGAGCAACTATTTATACTAAAAAAAACGAAAAACCTAATCAAACTAGGAAAACGAGAAAATTACCAAAAAAAAGGAAAAACCTAATCAAACTAGGAAAACGAGAAAATTACCAAAAATAAAAATAAAATAACTCCTAAACCTACTAGAATACCGAAAGTTGGAAACAACCCAACTTGCGGAATTCAAATCCTAATCAAACTAGAATTCCGACTCCGCCACCTCTGCATCAGGCCTTCCGGAAACAAGTTTCTATTCTCCAACGAGAACAAGCTCGTCCATTCATGGTGGCCAAGAAACATGGAGAGAGTATTCCCCACGTCACTGCTTACGTCAGCCAAGGAAGAATCAATCAAGATGAGGAAGCTTCTCCCGGGATTCATCAAACCCGACTCGTTGCGGAACTACGTCGGGGTTATGGACTCCATCGCGAGGGAACACCTGGAAACTCATTGGGAATGCGGCGGCCGGGATAATATTGTGACCGTTTTGCCCCTGGTGAAGAAGTTCACATTCGCGGTTGCGTGCAGGTTGTTCCTGAGCATTGACGATCCCGTGCACATTGCGAGATTCGATAAGCCTTTCCGTGTACTTGCGGCCGGGCTTTTGTCGGTGCCGGTTGATTTTCCGGGGACTCGTTTCAATCGTGCTATTAAAGCTGCCGATTCGATAAGAAGGGAGATTTTGGAAATAATCAGGCGACGGAAATCCGTGCCGACGGCCACCATCGTTGACCGTCGCGATATTTTGGCCCACATGCTGACGACGCCGGACGATAACGGGAATTTTATGTCGGAATTGGACATCACCGACAAGATTGTAGGGTTGCTTATCGGCGGCCACGACACGGCGAGTATCGTCATCACTTTCATCGTCAAATATCTGTCCGAGCTGCCGCATATTTACGATAAAGTCCTTGAAGGTGAGAGACTGTTGTCGGTCAGGTCATTGAGATGCTACACTGGGTAAATTTTAACCATCGATGTGGTTAAATAACCACTCACTAAACACATATACACATGGGTGTATGTGATTATGTGCAGATCAACAATTAATAATTACCCGATGTATTTCACCGAGTGGAGCATCAAATAAACCTGATACTGACAACTAGAGCTCATATCCTCTCTTTTTCTTTTTCTTTTTTCTTTTTTCTTTTGTTTGGGTAAAATATTTAATTTTATTAAAATTATTATATTAATAAATATATTGCACGTGTGGATATAAAAAAGAGCAAAGAAGAGTAGGAGATGGGAAATCAGGAGAAATGCTGAGATGGGAAGATATGCAGAAGATGAAGTACACGTGGAATGTGGCCTGTGAAGCTATGCGGCTGGCCCCACCACTTCAAGGCAATTTCAGAGAGGCTATTACTGACTTTACCTATGCTGGCTTCTACATCCCTAAAGGATGGAAGGTACAACTTCTACTTCGAGTGGTACTATTCAATTTTATTGACCATCGACTCGTTCGGTTATATATATATTGGATTAAATATAAATAGATGAGATTGAATCACAATACCTTCTGAGTAACTAGTTTGTTTAAACTAGTAAGATGTTCGGTTCCTTAGATTATATCTTGTATTAAATCTGTTAAATTCTTGAATTTTATGAGATTCGGCTATAAAATCTATGTGCGAATGAAATAGTAGCATTTAATTGTGGGCTATAATTTTATTTTTATTAATTATTTGGATGTAGTTGTATTGGAATGCAAATACAACACACAAACATGAGGAATACTTTCCGGAACCAGAGAAGTTTGATCCGACGAGGTTTGATGATGAGAATGGCAGCTCAATTGTTCCGTACACTTACGTCCCATTTGGGGGAGGGCCGAGAATGTGCCCCGGAAAGGAATATGCTAAATTGGAGATACTTGTTTTCGTATATAATTTGGTGAAAAAGTTCAAATGGGAGAAAGTTATTCCACATGAAAAGATAGTCGTCGATCCAATGCCCACGCCTGCAAACGGACTTCCCGTTCGCCTCCATCGTCATATCTGATAATATTCCGTATATCTATAATATACATCCTGTTTCAAGATGTGCTAAATAAATGCTACTGCTTGTAATCTATATATGCAATAATCAATCGAGTGGTTTAATCATTCGAACTTCGAACTTCAAATCTGCAATAACAATTATCTGAGAAGGAAAAAAAAAACGGGTATATTAATCGAAATCCTAAAATCACATGTTGTAGATTCCCCGAAAATTTAGGGCTAACCTCACTTGCTACCTTGTTAAAATATCCTTTGTGACAGTAGGATCTGGCAAGAGAATCTCCCGTTACACCGTTATACAAAACCGTAAGCTTGGGCCTCTAAAAAACTAACAATAATTCGTAATCTCTTACTACAACATAGGCAAGAAAACAAATACAAGACTGGTCTAAAAACTACCAGGATATTACATGGACAACACAAGTTCCCGAATCTCTACAAATTTGACCTGCTCCAATGTATGTTTACAACGCAAAGTAAACCATGTTCACATCATCTGCAGATGAATGTCAGCAGCCTGCTGAGCTAGTTCGACAACCATAGCCTCGTCGAAGAACTTATTAATGCTCACATCCTCAGACATCCCCTGACAAAATCAATACCAAAGTTAACTTGCTGAACTTATGTAGTAAAATAAAAGAAGAAAAAAAAAAGTCGCGAAGTTTTTAAAGCCATTCCCAAAACATAAACAAATGTTGGAGATTTTACATTATACAATAGTCCTCAAAGAAGTAAATAGTTCAAACAAGGTACTGCACTACACAAGAATAGACAGTCAACTGTTTCTTAGGGACCAATTGATGCATGAGATGAGGAAAAAGAGTAGATAAAGGGGTGATTTAGTATATACCTTGCGACGCCTAGTCTTGACCATAAATTCACGAGCCAAATGCTGGATTGGAGCTGGCTCCAATGGGCGTAGAACTATACTTTTATCCAGAGGATCTCCAGGGACAATAGCCCAATGATCGAATGCTGATAAGCAGAACGCCTGCCCCTGAGTGTGATACCTCAGGTCCGTTTCGAAACCAAAGGACTCTATCACAGGTAAAAATGCCTAAAGAAAGCAGAAAGAAACGGGGTTTAGTGAATTTAGTTAGATGCACGGAATCATATAATTACAATAATTAAAAAAAATATATATTAGTGTGTCATTAAGGAGATGAACTCTTGTCACGAACCTTGACGATGTAAGCTGGAGTCCCTGGTTGAGGAACATCTGCAGTGACGTGACCACGTCTACGTGATAGAACCGTGTATATTGCAGAAACACAGTCTATTGGAGTTTGTATCTGGAGACAATATCCATTAAATTAGTTACCACAGAATAAGTTACTGAAAGGACAGCCAATTGTTATCATTTTCCACTTTAGATTCTAAATAGAGTATAGTCCTGATGGATGGCAAGAAGCTGCCATCTTCAGCCGATTCAAAAATAATATTTACACGTGAACAAGTATCACTTTAAAACTGAGAGAGTAGCATATTGTAACACAAGCAAAAACAAATAGGAAGAAAACCGAAAGTCTATTTGTTATTGCTTTTTATAAGACTGAATAAAAGGATCAGAGAAAATCATTACCTCCACGTAGTAAACTGGCTCCATGAGTCTAGGTGTTGCCATGAGGAAAGCTGAATAGGCCACTCGTCGAGCAGTAGGAATGATCTGACCAGTACCACGATTCAATGGCTCAGGAGCAATTTTGGCATCAACTATCTTGAACTTCACATTTCTGATTGGCTCGTCACAGAGTGGGCCTTCACGAGCCCCCCACTGAAACCTGTCGGAGTGCAGCATTGTCACAAAAGTGAAAGCAGAAAACAACCAAGAAAACAAGAATGATCTGAAAATTGACTTACCCTTGAACAATAGAGTCTTTACAAGCGTTAAGCAAGCTCTTATCAACTTCACTTGATAGTGTATCATCTAATAATATATTAGGACCCTGAAAATATAGATAATATCACTGTTTAACATCTGGTCAACACTTATGAAAGAGTGAACTCAATCAAGGATATTATCGGCCAGGTAAGTTAAAAGTTAAGAACAAGAGCTGCCCACCAGAGATAATTGACAATAAATCTGATGTGTGCATTCAACTCACCTGCTTATCAGGACCAAATGCCCAAATAGACCTTGCAGCAAGCAGATCCCAGTCATATTTTGTCTGAAAAAAGTCACCAAGCTTCTTCCTTGGCCAGTCAATGCTTACAATACCATTCTCGATATCCTCAGCAAGTCCTCTCTCCAGTGGCTCCGCAATCTAGATTTTGAGAAGCAATAACTAAGTACAACATCTATAGTATGATCTCTAATAAATTATATCAATTATATATATATATATTCCGAATACCATTGTAATTTTATTTTTCTTGTTTGGAGTTTCAGCAAAACATTTCATTGAAGAGGACTCCACGACTGTTTCACAGAATGAGACAACAGGATCTGCCACCTATTTCACATAGTATTCAAAAAATATCAATACCATTGTGAAGAACCTGTTGAACTTCTAATAAAGTAGGAAAATCAGTAAGGAAAAAGAAAAGACAGACACACCTTGACTTCCACTTCTGAGTAAAGCTCCCTGAGGTCCTTCATTATCGAATCCAAGTACAATTCTCCAGTACCTAAAATAGTATGTTCACCTGATTCCTCAACCTTCGTAATAGCTAATGGATAACTCTTGCTGATCTTCCTAAGACCCTCCACCATTTTTGGCAGCTCGCTCGGATTCAAAGGCTCGGTGGCAGTTTTCACCACAGGAAGAGTGTTGAACTGGAGTGGCCTGAATATGTGGACATCCTCATCGTATTCTAAGTTGCAGATTGTTGCAGTCTTCATGATAGAGGCATCCACACCTTCAATGAGAACCCACGAACCAGGTGGGGCCTTGGTAATGGGAATCCTATAACGAGCTTGATAGACCCATAATTTCGACACTTCTTTCACTGTCATGTCTTCCTCGTCATCCGGAGAATATCCCTCCCCTAAAACACGTACAGCCTGTCCTGCCATTATTTCCCCACTGTAAACTCTGCCAAAGGCATCAAATACGCTACAGTCAGCTTTCGGATACAGTTTTGTTATATTAACCATTACAGGACCTGATGCGTCACAATCCTCCATAGCCTTGTAAATCGCGGAATCCTTTGGCCCAGTGTAAATGTGCTCAACCTTCCGCTGTGCAGCATCTTTAGCAGATGGGATGTGTTGAACCAGCATGTCTGTAAAGCCTGTTGAACTACCGAAAACTGAGCTGCATGCCAATCTTAACAGAGGCCTGACATTCAAACGATAAGCTGCGTTACTCAAAGTCACGCCAAGTTCACCAAGTGTAGCCTCCACGCTCTTCTTGTGTTCTCCAATTACTTGGCTGTATATTTTATAAAGAGGCTCGAGCACAAACTGGACAAAGGACCGTTCTGCTCCACTGGGAGGTTGTTTCTTCTTGAAACTTCTGGTGTTAGGATCATAGTAGTAATCACCCCAAAGGCGAGAAGCAAACTTACTAGCATCAAACGGAATACCATGGAGCTTAACATAAAGCTTAGCGAATGAATGCAAGGTGAAGGCCCATCCTGCACTGCCACTTGCAAAACAAACATTTCCAAGAGCAGGATCAACAACTTGAACGTTTCCAGCAGTTGAAGATGCAGCTGTTATGTGGTTGTTGATGACTTCAATTGTGTGCCTTAGCTTATGGTAGGCGTCCTTTGGGGGCAACTTCAGCTCAGTTATCAATCTGTCAACCTGATTATATAATTCAGCTTAAAATTAAATTGCAGATTAAAGAAGAAACCTCTTCGAGAGCAAAACTCAAGTGATGAAAACATATGAGAAACACTGTCTTATAAAGCGAAATTCAGTTCGATATATCACCTTGTTTATTACAACAACTATGGGGAGGCGTTCCTGGATTGCATGGCGTATAGCCCGCTCTGTGTTTACCTGTTAACGGGATGGAAATGAATTACATTAAAAATGAACCAAGCAAATAATGATAAAATTACTTACCGAGATTCACCGTAACTTTTATAAAGAAGAAAGTCACAAAAAAACACTTGCAGTACTACAGCAGAAAAATCTTAAAAAACGAGATCTGCTTCAGACGGATTGATCTGCCATCACAAAGTCATTTTAGCAAAACCCCCAAGTCACTTCACACACCATGAAACTCAATATGAAAGCACAAGGTCACTTAATGACAATATATTGTGAAAAACTGCTAGGACTGGACGATAGAGGTTCTAGTACTAGCAGCAAAATCGACAAACTAAACTAAATGAGAAATAGAAGGTAACAACATGCTAAAGAACTCATTATCTTTAACTTTTCTCAAGACAGAGACACGTAATCAAAATAACATCCTACTGCACAATTATCTAAGAAAGCTTACCATCACTCCTTCTGCAGCATCTACAATCAACACTGCACCATCAGCAAGCCTAAGAGCAGCAGTCATCTCATCAGAGAAGTTAACATGACCAGGCGTATCCATAATGTTGCAAAGATACGACTTCGAATTGCTATCCTCGAGAACAAGTGACATAGGAACTGCCTTAATCGATATCTTCCTCTCCTGTTCATCGACCCTCGTGTCAGTGTACCTCATATGCTTTTCGCTGTGCTGATCAAACGTCGAAATGTGATGAGTCTGCTCGACCAACATGTCCATGAATGTCGTCTTTCCATGTTGCAAGTTACCCACCAAAGCAACATTCCTGACCAACTTAGGGTTCGACATAAGACCCAAAAGGAATTCTGTTGATACATAGGTCGATGAATCCTTTACACCCACCTCAAACTTGAGGTTTCTCACAGGCTTAATGATTGGTTGTTCGAGTGACTGCTCATCTTCATCCATAACTAGGGTTTCAACTTCTTCACCATAAACCTCCTCGGCAGTCGGGTAGTATTTTTTGTCCTCTGCCAGGACGATTTGACCGTCCATGTCAACATCCTCGTTTGTTGTAAGCCACCCGTTCGATTTTCCAGGGCCGTGCTCATTTTCAGACATAGGCTCGTCATCATCAGTCCTACCAGGGAGTTCCTCCTCTTCCTCATCTCTGTCACTCTCTTGATCAGACTCAATTTCAGGTCCGATATAGTTACCGAACTCGTCATACAAACTATCATCCATAGCTCTATAAAACTGCAAATATTCAAATTCCTGCATTAACCAACTCGTAACAAGCAATAAAATATAATTTACCAAGTATAAATGAAATCCAGACAACTCTAGATACAATTGGGTCTACAAAAATCTCCAATCCTAACAATATTCATTCACAGAACCCACTGTAGAAACAGAGGCTTAGCTTTAAAACGAAGTACACATTAGGGTTCTACTCATGGTTCACCGGAACGCCGCTATAGCGGCCGGAACGGAGTCCACCGCGACAAAGTTCCGGCATATAGCGGCAGGCGTGTTCTAACATCTAAACGAAGCAATTTATCAGCCGGAACGGCAATATAAGCGGCTCGCGCGCACCGTGGCAGCGATTTACCGTGTCCGTGGTGTAACTGTGTTCTTCGCGGCGCGGCAGAAATGGATTAGGGCTAGTGAAGCCGACAATTTTATATTAGTTCTGATTCCACTCAAGTTTTCAAATGCTTCAACTTAGCCCCTAAATTTTATGATTTCTACTAAGATAAATATATTTATTCAAAAAATCCATTGTTGAAACAGAGGCTACGAACTCAACTTCAATAAAATAAGGGCAGAGAAGAACATCAAAATGCACAGAGAAAAAAAAACGCACAAATCTGAAACTCGAACAACAAGTAGAAGAAAACCAGTACACTTACCGTATAAAACAAACGGCGAAAATAGACGGCGTCAGCACGACAGGGTCGGCGCCGGAGATGGGCGAGTCACTGAGTCAGGGTAGCACGCTGGCGAGTGTCGACTGACTGAACGAAACCTATTTGAAAGACGAAACTTCTTTTTTCTCGTCTTCGATTATTTTTTTCTTATTTTTTTCTTATGTTTGCATTTCATTTATTATTTTTGTTTTATTTTCATTATTTACTTTACTATTATTTTATTAGTCGGCCCGGCCCAAGTCAACTGGCCCATAGCATTATGTATAACTTTTAATTTATTAGTTATTTACTTTACTATTACTTATTAGACCCGGCCCGGCCCAAGTCAACTGGCCCATAGCATTATGTATATTTTTTTTTTATTTTTTTTTATTTCCATATCTCTCTCGTGTTGTTGATTTTTTTTCAATTTTCTTTTCTCGCTCCAAAAGGCGAAATCCCTCGCCCCCAGGGTCAATTTTCTTTTCTCAATGTAAAAGGTTCGTTTGTTATGGTCTAAGACATGACATTTGTAATAGTTATTTTCATATTTTTTAACAGATTGATCGTCGAGGGCGCCACCGTAAATCGACGTCTCGGAATGATTCGAAGAAAGCATACAAGAAAGTTGCTATCAAGAATCATCCATGCATGTGCGGTGACTCCGGGAAGATATCGATCAAACAAATTTAATCTTCGAATTTTGCAAGTTCTTTTGTTTCTGTGTTGATGAATTGTTTGGGTCCATTATATTTTTTTTCTTTCTGGTTTGGTTAGTTTGTGAATTTTTATTTTTTTTATTTGGTGATTTGAGTTTGTTATGTGATGTTATGATGTGATTGAATATGCAATATGACCCTATGTTCCCCTTATAGTGCTGAAGTGCGGTGTTTGGCTAAGCTTATAAGTTGTTAAAAGGAGCTTATAAGATGTTTTAGAGGGGATAATTACACTTTTGGTCCTTCATGTTTTGCCCGATTTCACTTTCGATCCCCCTTGTTTTAAAGTGAATAAAGTCCACCTTAGCTTCAAGTTTCAATTTTGAACACTTTTGGTCATCGCCGTTACATGTCCGTTAGCAAGTAACGGAAAACACTATTTCAGAACAAAAATTAGAAATTTTTTTTTTGGGGGCTGAAAAATAATTAGAAATTTTAAATAAACTACTTAATACTTATGATTAAACTTTTAATAATATGAAGTATAATGAAATTTATTTAGTTAATTTCTTTTTTTATTATTACAACATCAATATTTATATGGGGGCAAAGTTGATATCTTTCTCATAAAATTTACTATTAACCTTGCTAAGATTTGCCTGCTCCAAGTCACTGATAATGTTGTCGTCAATGTATACAGTGATCTGCTGTAGCAATGGAGGAGTCGAATGAAAAGCTTACTGCTTAGTGTCCATCAATTTGTTTTTTTTTTCTTTTTGTTTTTCTTTTTTTGAATTCAACAGTTTCTTACTTCGGCGGATGTTGAATTTAGGACGAGTCAATTTTCTGGAAATAGAAAGCTCAATTTGCACCTAGGGTCAAGTTGCAATTTGTCAGTTAGACAAGGGTACAAAAGTTAAAGGATCAACGAAAACAAAATTATGGGGAACAACAATGGCCATAAAAGTTTTGTATCAATTCGAATTAGAAACTACTGTTTTTATTCATAGTCCAAACAAATAATAAAGGATAAATTATAATCATCTCTGATGTAGGTTAATTTACAAAAAAACCCTCTTGTTTGGATAATTACATCTACCTCTCAACTATGATTTTTTCTTACACCTCCACACTTATGGTGTCAAATTAAACATAATCATCTAGATTTCGTGGAATGTGCTCTAGTTTGAACTCGTTTTGTGTAAAAATACAGTTTCGGATGCACCACAATCTGATATATACAAGCAAAAAAAACACATATTATGATCATCTTGCTTCAAAATGTAGAGTTCTAATGGGATAAAACTGGTACAAAAGTGATAATAATACATATAATCTCGAAAATAACACTTAATTTGAAACTGCAATGGTGGACGTGTAAAAAGATTTATAGTTGAGGGAGCGGTTGTAATTAACCAAACAGGAGGGGTTTTTTTGTAATTTAACCATACCTCAGGGGATGGTTGTAATTTACCCTAAATTAAAGAAAACAATAACTCAGATTGAAACAGACAAAACGTGGGATAATTGAGCCTTGGTATTTGAAGATTACCAGGCCACCATTTTAGAACAAAACTAACTTTTGGTGCTTTTTATTATAATTTTTATAATTATTAATTGTTATATATATATATTCACTAAATCATTTTTAATTGCAAAAGAATGTAATTAATCAAGTAGGGCAGTGTTACCTAACATTGCGCCTTTGATTATAAAAATAATACTTTGTGGAGGAAATGGGAACTCCAAACACTAATATAATATTACAATTTACAGTCATGTTGGCTGCATTTGTGATGTAAAATAAAAAAATATGCCCCAAATCTCACCGTAATTACTAACTAGTCCTTAGGGAAGTTGTGGCTTTTGTAGTAATATTAAATATTAATATATATACCATCCATCCAAAACTTTGTATTTTGTTAATTTGTTTGACCTAATCATGAAATTTATTCCATTTCTTGTAACTGTAGTATCCGCCCCTAATTCAATCTACAGTAAAACTTCGATAAATTAATAACTACTGCTTAAGTAATAATTTATATATCATGATTATGACTCAATGAAAACGTACTAAATTATTAACTTAATAATATAATATTTCTTTAAATTAATGGGATTTATATTATTTTATAAAGATTTGATTGTAAATAAGTTAGATCCGATGCTCTAACTCAGCAGTTTATGCGATATGGAAATGACGAAAAGTGGAATATTTGTTTACATAAGGGAAACTTATAAATTACAATCCTACCATCTAATTTTAAATATTCTTTTAGCGATTCGAAGTTTAAAACTTTGTCTCGTCGTAATTTCAATTTAGCTTTAATTTTAACGCCGAATACACATTATTATATTATTTAAATACTAATAATAATTTTTAAATTTCAAAATATTTTTTTATAAGTAATAATAAGTTTTAAATACCCGCGCTCAGAGAAATTAATAGTTTGTTCAATGCTATAATCGGTGAACTTCATCAATTAAGTTATATACATTCTACTCCACATGTATATACATATAGATCCATACATATTTTATACACATCGAGACACACACACACACACACACACACACATATATATATATATATATATATATATATATATATATATATATATATATATATATATATATATATATATATATATATATATATATATATATATATATAAATCGAAACACCAATAGAAGTGAAGCACACCAACCATGACAAATTGCAGGCCATGGCATTAATCTTTGTTTTAATTGCTGCAAAATCTAGCTGCATCTGTCCATCTCGTTTTCGACATCGACAAACCCATAATTATTATAAATTTAATTAATTAATAAATTTATTTATATATTAAATACCTCATTTTTATATTTCGAAATTAATTTGAGATATTTTAGCTCTTACGTGATGACATTTGAAATGATCCGACGGTTGAAATTTTTAAGTCAATAAAAGGTGACGTAGAATTCAATGAATTTGGGGTTTTTTTTAATTTTTTTTTCTTGAAAGTCTAATTATATGAGCTGGTTTCTATTTTTAAACATGAGAGAAAATTGTACATATGTGTACATTATGATTATCAAGTAATTTGTAGCCACTATATTGGAATAAATGGGTAGTGTAATTAGTCCAACCCGGTTTATATTTGTCACTCAATCTCAAAAGTCTTTTGCCTTGTCAAAATAAAATAATAAATTTTAATACTGGGTCTACACGCATCCAATGAAAAGTATCGGATGATCTTGCACCATAAATCTTGCTACGCGTGTTTATTTACATCGAGAGAATATAACTGCAGATCTGATTAAATAACCACTCATTGCATCAACATCGATGTATGTGTATTTATGCATAAATTTATAACTGAAATTCACCCAATATAATTAATAACCAAGTGTAACATCCAATTACGAGTGAAACCATTTTTTTTATTTTTTGTTAGACTTAAAGTCCATGCACTAGAGTTGACTCAAGGGGTTGAGTCAACAATTACAAAATTTCACGAGTCAGAAATTTACCACAGACCTATACATGCATGCCCTATTAAATTATAGTGTAACATGGGATTTCAATTTAAAAAAATAATAATAATAATTAATTAGATGTAAGTTCACACACAAAATTCTAATTTCAAGACCGGCCACTTTCGTAACGCAACCATTGTGTGTGCCCTTAGTGGGAATGTGTTTTATCACATGAAAGAAAATCAAAGCATCAATTTCCAATCATGTTTAAATTCAATTGTTTATTAATAAAAAAATATTAAAAAAAAAATCAATTAAGAATATATTTATTGCCCACCGAATGAAGCCAGCCAAAGTAGGACTTCCACTAACAAAAATGGCAAAATTAAATCTTAATTTATTAATTAATTTAGCTACCCTAATTTGACCTTCACATACATCATAGAAGTCAAAAAAATTAAATTAAATTCCAAAATTTAACATATTTATCCACACTAAATTTTCTTTTCATGTGTGCTTATAAATATACCAAACTTCTACACCATATTTTTCAACTCAACTCACACACAAATTAATAGTAACACAATGGAGGTATTCTATGTTTCTCTTCTTTCTCTTTTCGTGGTCTTAGTCTCGCTCTCCCTTCACCTCGTCTTTTTCAAGAACAAATCAGGGGGCGGCGGCCGAGCCGCCCCTCTCCCCCCAGGAAAGACCGGCTGGCCGGTTCTCGGGGAGAGCCTGGAGTTCCTCTCCACGGGATGGAAAGGCCATCCGGAGAAGTTCATCTTCGACCGGATAGCCAAGTACTCATCGACCGTCTTCCGAACCCACCTCCTGGGCGAGAAGGCGGCCGTCTTCTGCGGCGCGGGCGGCAACAAGTTCCTATTCTCGAACGAGAACAAGCTCGTCCAGGCATGGTGGCCGAGCTCCGTCGACAAGGTGTTCCCTTCATCCAACCAAACCTCATCCAAAGAGGAAGCCATCAAAATGCGTAAAATGCTACCGAATTTCTTCAAGCCGGAAGCCCTACAACGCTACGTCGGTATAATGGACCACATCGCCCGCCGACACTTTGCCGACGGGTGGGAGAACAAATCGGAAGTCGTCGTCTTCCCACTAGCCAAAAACTACACCTTCTGGCTCGCATGCCGCCTCTTCGTGAGCGTCGAGGATCCGCACCTCGTCGACGAATTCGCGGAGCCGTTCAACCTACTGGCGTCCGGTTTGATCTCGATCCCCGTAGATCTGCCCGGAACGCCGTTCAATAAGGCGATAAAGGCGTCGAACTTTATCCGGAAGAAGCTGATTACGATTATTAAGCAGAGGAAAGTTGACTTGGCGGAGGGGAAAGCTTCGCCGACGCAGGATATATTGTCGCACATGCTGCTCACGTGCGATGAGAGCGGGAAATTCATGCATGAACTCGATATTGCAGATAAGATTCTGGGTTTGCTTATCGGCGGCCACGATACTGCTAGCTCTGCTTGCGCTTTCATCGTCAAGTATCTCGCTGAGTTGCCGGAGATATACGACGGCGTATATAAAGGTATATTTATTATTAATTATTAATTAATTTCTTGATTGAATATAATTAGTGTTGATTTTGGGACCACTTTTCCAAAAAAAAATCTTATACAAAATTTTATTTATGTACTAATATGGTAATTTATTTATAAGGATTATTATTTACGTGCCCCACTAGCACAAAAAATTTGCTTGTTACTACGAAATTTTTTGCTACGGCCATTTACCGTAGTAAAGCTTTTGTCACGCCCGTATATACTACGAGGCAAATTAGTAGCAAATGCGTAGCAAAAACCTTTTTAGTACGAATTTGATACCTTTTGATACGGTTAATCATCGTAGTAAAAAACAATTTTTTTACTAGTGCCCGCCAAAAAAAATAAAAATAAAAATAATTAAATTAAATTGTTTTGGAATTATATGTTTTGGATATATGTGATTGAATATAAGATTCCCTTTGGTGGATTATTATTGGTCACTACTCATGTTTGTCTAATTTTCGGTTATTATTGGTCACTAACTCACTATTCATGTTTGTCTAATTTTGCGTAAGTTCACTGTCAACTTTTTTAAGGTAATTTGTTGTTATTTGTAATGGATGAATTTGAATCATGGATCTAATATGAATATCTATTAAATAACTATCCACCAAGTATATATATATTTTGGTGTTTGTGTGATTGTGTAAATAATCAGGTGTAACATATAATTTTCTCAATTTCTTGCCATGTTTTATGTGATATAAAATCGATTTATTAGTAATTAACTTTGATGTTATGAAATATTGTGCACAGAGCAAATGGAAATTGCGAAATCGAAGAAAGAAGGCGAGCTTTTGAACTGGGACGACATTCAGAAGATGAAATATTCATGGAACGTTGCTTGCGAAGTGCTGAGGCTCGCACCGCCTCTCCAGGGCGCTTTCAGGGAAGCCCTCTCCGATTTCATGTACAACGGCTTCTCCATCCCCAAGGGCTGGAAGGTAATTTCGGACTAAACAATATTAAAGTATTTCATTACTATCAGTTTTTCAGAGATGATTTGACTGCTATTACAGAAAACTAACTGTTTTTTATTTCGTGGATGTTTGCAGATATACTGGAGCGCAAATTCGACGCATATAAATCCTGAATGTTTCCCAGACCCTAAGAAGTTCGACCCGTCTAGATTTGACGGGTCGGGCCCCGCTCCGTACACATTTGTACCGTTCGGTGGAGGACCGAGAATGTGCCCCGGAAAAGAGTACGCTAGATTGGAGATATTGGTGTTCATGCACCATCTCGTGAAGAGGTTCAAGTTTGAAAAGATGATTCCCGACGAGAAAATCGTTGTTAATCCGATGCCAATTCCTGCCAAGGGTCTACCTGTTCGCTTATTCCCTCACAAAGCTTAAATCTTTTTCTTCTTCTTTTTCGATTTTTTTTTTAATTTGTTGTTATTAATAAATAATTGTTTTTTGTTAAAAGTCTTGTAATTTGTATACGTTGAAGCAGCCAGCAGAAGAAAACTACTTTTTTGATTTTTTTTTTTTTTTTGTGTATTTGATTTTTCCTTCTTTTGTTTTCTAATATATAAAAATGGTAATTTTGTGAGTGATGTGCTGTCGATTTCTTGGGAGGTTTTTTATACTACACCCCGTGAAGATTTTTATCGTTGATCTACACACACTAAATGGGTGTGTGCGTGCGCTTATGAATGGTAAAAATCTACCCGCTATATTTCATCCGATGTAGTATAGTATAAACCAATTTCTTGAATGTATAAGAAGATTAAGACAAATACGTGTGTATGTATGCTAAATATATATCTTTGATAATACATTACAAGTAAAGATACGTCTGATTTTCTACAACGAGTTCTGTTATCTACCACGTTTATAAATCTACGATGGTATGCTACGTAGTGAAATTCATATGCGAGTCAGTGAGTGACTCGTTTTAGACGTTTACGCCAAGTCGATCAACTCAAAGAACATTAACTATATATATATATATATATATATATATATATATATATATATATATATATATATATATATATATAACTCTTAAATTTCACAAGAAAGAAAAAAAAAACCTCTAAAATTCACCAATATTAATTAGGCCTCCAGGTTTGAAAGTTTGGTAATCTTTCATATCATCATACCAGCCGGCCGCCACCCCCACCCCTTACCTTTTTTTTCTTGATGACCTTTTGTTTGTTTTGTGAAGGTTAATTAGTCCACTTATTTATTTATTAAATACATTAAAAGGTTAATTAGTCCACTTATTCATTTGTTTAACAAAAGAAAAGGTGAATGTGTGACTTTGGCCAACTATGTGCATTTACACCTACCAACTTTTGAGCCTATTTAATTGATTTAATCACAAGCTGAGAAATTCGATTTTGACCCGATTCCATCACCGTTTAAGGTTAAACTAGTTATTCACCCGTGCAATGAACAGATGAACCATTTAAAAAAAAATTACGTTTAGATTATATAATCAAACACAGATTTTGAATGGTTAATATGTATAATACGATATAATTTAAAAAATTTAAGAACAATATCCATTCAAAACAATATACATTCCATTTGATTTAAGTACCGAATTTTTTAAACATCATTCACTTTCACATGTTTTTCAGGAAACATCGATCCTAGCTGGAACATCCACAACTGGAAGATAGAACTTCGTAACTTCGCAGCTAGCATACACTTGGTCCATAAGTAACACAAATGCAATAATATACCAAAACCAAGAGATAAACAAGTTAATCATGACAAATTTATAAATACACAAATCTTCTCTATTACCACTATTTCATTATCTTCAATCCATAAACATTTAATTTAAAAAAAAATAGAGAAAAAAAAGAGAAAAAAAGAGAAAGAAAACAAGCAGTTTGTTATCATAATACACAAATCTGAACATAAAATTAGTCATATCCTTTCCGATTCTTTACTCTGTTCTTACTTACCGACCGATGCATTAACAACTTTAATCTGCAGTCATAGGTTGACTGATGCAGCACCTGAAGCGAGCTTTTCTGACAGTTGTCATAATCTCAGTCTCTGCAGCCTCGAGCATTCTCACGACCTGGGCGAATGAGGGCCTGACATCTGGATTACCGTCCCAGCAAAGTGCCATTATCTGGCTGAGTGCAGGCAAACAGTCGTTGGGTATGGTGGGACGTACCCCTTTGTTCACAACCGCAAATGCCGCCTGTACGGCTGTCATATTCTGGAAAGGGAGCATCCCTGTAATAAGCTCCCACAGTACTATCCCGAAGCTGTATACATCCACTTTCTGCGTGTATGGCCTGTGCTGTATCATTTCCCTGCAATTTCAGAAAAGCAGAAAGTATTTAATCACTAATCAAATTCGTGACGCGTGTAAGTAGAATGTAGACCGTCACATGATTGTGCCGTTAATGAAGATTATTTAATGCCTGAAATAAGATGAGTAAATGGAAATAAATGCCATGGAAGTCATCACTGATTGGACATGTGAGCTATACATGTTGTTAAATGCATCAACACAAACTGCATCTCTAAAAGAAGCTCGTGAAATATCAGCCGTTGACTTTGTAATGACTTCCCCAAAAAGGTAAATGCACGTAAATACTATTACGTCTTTAAATATTTGGTCAAAAAGATAATAATCATGCAGAAAAACTTTCAAGGGCTATATAATGTTTGGCAAGACGATTGATACATATGAAGTCGGATAACTGGGTGATGTATAAAAACCACTTTGGCTGTCGTTGAAGAAAAGAAACTCTCGATATAAAATCATCTTTCACATTCCAAGAATTCAAAAACGTACTTCTTTCAAAAAGTGCATACCTAACATACAACATATTATACAATTTGAATGTCGCATATTTCCACTAGATTTCTAACCAAAGTTACAGAAAATGAAATGAAGTATAATATGACGGCTACAAGAAAGAAACTCGTTAAATGCATCTTCGGTAGATTTTCTGGTTAACGAGATGTGATAAATAATGATGCCGCAGAATAAATACGTCAAAATTTGGCACCGTAAGGTAATCCAAGGTATCACATATTCAGATTCATTCAACCAAGTTTAACGTTCCACAAAATCTTTTGGTAATGTAATTAGTAACTAGTTTAGCTTCATATTGCGATGCTGACTGGACCAAACCATAAACCCCGTCCTGAAATTAGAAAATTACTTCTTATCCTGTTTAAGTTTTCGGAAAATGTATCTTATCCAGTTTTAGGGTTCAAGCTATTAGCATGATTAGGTTTCCTCTAAATTCTACTCCAAACTAAGGCAACAGTTTTTTACTTCGACTTCACAAGATCTGACATTATCAATGATATGCATTCACGATTGTAAATAAACTCAGGAAATTACAAGGAAAGTCCTTAAAAATTGATTCCATAACCAGCATATGCAGCAAGATGTGTGTAATCCAAATTAGTAAGTCTCGATCAGCTATAAATTTTCAGGTAAATTATTCGTGGAGGATAACAACTTATAGGTAATTTTTTGCTTCCAATTCAATCAGTATTACAAAACCGAAAACATCAACAGGATGGAACTTATTAACGTAGTATCCTTTCATTTTAGTAGTTGAGCAAAGCGTAATTAACAGAACTAAGCTTTATAAGAAGCTCACAACTGAAACATCTAACTAATATCAATATAAATGGATAAACATGCAATCGGAAAAGCCTCAAAAGGTTGAAATTATATCGTATTACTAAAAAAAGATTAATGTCAATCCAATATCGTGCTGCATGTCCAAAGAGAATAAAATGTTTTTGGGTTACCATAAACCTGTTCTTCCGATTCCTCCAAGAACTGAAACAAACCCGAAAACACGTAGTAAAATAAAAAACTGCAGACAGAAAACCAACCACCAATCTAGCTAAAAATGAGATCCCAAACTAATGGGACGCGAATAGCACCAATGGTTCTTCATCTTTCTTAACATGATAATGACCTGCGAGTCTCCGAAAAAGCAAAGACATGATCACGATTATCTAATCACTGTCATATGTGGTTCATTTAAAGAACCTTAGAGGGCACCAAGTAAAATTATAGTTGCTTCGAATGAAGAGGCTGAGAATAACTCTTTAAGACTACCAAAAAAAAAAAAAAAATCATATACCAAACAAGTCAGCACATATAAATTGTCAATGTTGAACTGCACTTAACCTAGTATGAAGTCAATTAATAAGTTGAAGAAACAAATAAAGACTGCATGTGCACAACTCCCAAAAAAAGGGGCAATAATGAAAACTAGAACTCATGGCAAGGACAAAGAATAAGAAACTTACGGAGCCATCCAACGGTACGTGCCAGTCTCCGGTGTCATCCCTTCAGTCTGCACCTCTATACGAGCCACCCCAAAATCCGCAATCTTGATAGACTTGTCAGCAGAAATCAGAAGATTGTCGGACTTCAGATCTCGGTGAATCAAATTCAACTCATGAACATACTCCATCCCTCTTGCCACATCCAAGGCCTGCTTCACAGCCAACTTCAAGGGAACCGCACGATTTTGACGCTTATTCAAAAACTGGCGCACCGAACCTCCCTTGGCATATTCCGTCACAATGCACCACACCATCGGTTTGCGGCATGCACCAATAAACCGAACAATATTCGGGTGCTTCAACCTTGCAAGCATCATAACCTCTTGCTGAAATTGCTGTTCCATTAAGTGGGCCCTCTCTAAATCATTCTCTGGCCTCTCTAGTAGCTTAATTGCAACATCCTCACCATTGTATGTGCCTTTGTAGAGCTTACCAAATGCCCCCTGAGCGAAAGCGGGGCCCATGTTGAGCTTCCTCAAGTCAATTGTCCACTCATCGTAATTACCAAGCCCCTCTGTTGGATAACGAGGGTCGATCAAGGCTTGAGCTAGGGCGTCATCACTCAGCCCATGAGAAACTCTACCATGGTTAACACTGGCGGCAACTGAGTAATTGTTGACATGCTTTAGACCTTGGTGACCTAAGATTCGAGTGTGGGAATCGTTAGATCCGACACTGCTGTTGTCCATTGACATGGCGACTGAGCCTCCACCATTGCTCAGTTGCAAGCTGCCGTAGCTGTCGATCGACATGTTTGAACCCTCGTTGAGCTTGCGGTAGAAGTGCGAGAAATCGTAGTTTTCATGGTTGTTGTTTAGGCCTATGATTCCAGTAAATTTCGGAGTCTCCAACATTTTTTTTTTATAATAATTCTATGACGTTTGTGCAACAGAAAAATCTTGAGAGTGTTCTTATATCTTCTGCATTAGTATTTGCAAGCTCGGCCTAACTGAACAAGATCCCTACAAAAGAATCGAACAGAAGTTAATGGAACAAATTTATGAGGCAGTCGAATAAAAAACCCAAAATTAAAATCAAGAATAGAGCATGTACTCATTGGATAAAAAAATATATACAGATATAACCCTAAGAGCCACATAAATCAATTGGAAGTTCAAACAATTGTTTCTCAAATTAGGAGTTCAAACAAACTGAAACGATCAAGCCCTAGTCACTCATTCACCTCTCAATTCCTTTTATTCTCTTATGTTAGACTACAATTCCGTTCAATAAAACCCGTTCCACCACATCAAGTTCAACTTCACAAAAAAATAATCGAAAAAAAAAATTAAATCAAAACTCAGCTCAAAACCCCCACAAATAAAATCAGAACTTTTCCCGAAACGAGAACTCAATACAGCTCGCCAATTTCTGGTCGCAAAAGAAAAATTAACAAACAGTAAAACCAAATACAGCAAATAAAAACCTCATAAACCCTAAATTGCTATCAAAAGAATCAGTGATCAAAGCGAGAAATTGAGAAATGAAACAGAAGAACACACCTCGATCGAGACGGTCCAACACTCTACTGAAACTCAGTGAATTCGCAGATTTCCCCTCCTTCTCACAAGCCTTTCACCCTCGACAGAAGAAACACGCGAAGATGGAGTGAAAAAACGACGAAGTCTGACAGGGACAGTTTCTAGAGAGAGAAAGTAGCAGAGAATGAGATAGAGAGAGAAAGAGAGAGAAATGAAAATGAATGGAAGTGTATGCAGAGCTCTCTCTATTATTCTCTTTTTATTTATTTATTTATTTGTTATAATATAATAATATTATTTCTTTTACTAACTAAATGGGAATTTGCTCCTGTGTATCAGCTCACAGATATAGTTCTGTCTTAATACTAATTTGTGGGGCCCAAATGGCGAGAGACCTAATTGAAGCCGTAGATGCTGACGAGATTTGTCTAATCTGGACCGTTGATTTCTGGGCCAGCACTAACGATTACTCACACGCGTCCGTCGTTAGCGTACTGCGCGCGTGGGACAAATATTTTCGGTGGGGTGGTCGTTTTGACTGTCAAAACAAGAGAAACAATCCAAGGTGCATAAAGCACAGTCTTTTATTTTATTTTTTATTTTCTATTAAACATTAGTTTAATATATTTATCAAAAAAAATAAAAAATTAGTCTAATCTCAAATATATATTTGATTTTCCTGAAAAATGTTATAAACACGTATATATGAGTTAGTAACTTAGTATACATAATTAAATATGTTTCAATCGACGTAAAAATTTGTATTGAGAAATATTTATTGGTGATAGACACGGAAATTTTGGGATAAATCACGAATTAATAGTCTGTTATTAATTTGGATTTTGAATCGAAGTCCATAATATATTGGCTTTACAAATGGATTGGTCCTTGAATAAGTATAAATTTGTGTTTTATGGATTATCTAAGTTGGCATAATTTAAGGCAGTAAATCAAATTGCAGGTATTCAAGTCCACTAAGTTATTTTATTTGGTCTTCTTAAAAAATGTAATAAACACGTTTATATAATTAAAAATATGTTTTAATTGATATACAAATTTATAATTTATAATTTAATAATGATACATTTCATTTAATTACATTTTTAATCATAATTCGTGTGCAGTCTATTAGAATAAGTTAACAAGAAACCCGTGGAGGGTTTGTAGCCAAACAAGAAAATATTTTTCATCCAAAAAGTAAATAACTTTTTTCTCTAAAAATTATATATAGGGGTAATGGCAAATAGGCCCATGACAAGGGCACTTAATTAAAAAAGGGACATCCAACTTTTTTGTTTCTCAAATAAACCCACCCCATTCAAACTTATTTGCAAATAAGGAAAATCCCTTTATATATACCAAAATTACCCTCAATTCATTGAAATCCAATTCAACTCCAATTTCATGATTTACACCCCAATTTAGCCTAATTTCATCAATTAACCAATTTTAACCCTAATTTCAATTTTGACCCAAATTTTAACCCTAATTCTTATCAATTCCACCCATTATGCTCTAACTTCTTAAATATTACACATTGACCCCGGATTTAAACAAATATATCACATTAACCCCCAAAACGTTTTTTTTTCAGAAAATAATTTTTTTTTTTGAAATATTTTTTTTCCGGCCAGATTCCGGCGGTGACCCTTTTTTTTTTTTTTTTTTTTTTTTTTTTTTTAAATTTTCGTTTTCCCGAAATTTTTTTCCGACCGGTCAACGGCCGTTGACCGCCGGGTCTCCGGCGTTGACTTTTTTTTTTTTTTTTTTTTTTTTTTTAATAATTTTGTTTTTTCTTAAAAAAAATATTTTAATTAATTTTACTGTCTTAGCTGCTAAATTACTGTCTCCGGCAGCTATTTAACTGTCGGATACTGTAATTTAACTGTTAATTGACTGTTTTTTTTTTCTTCAAAAATATTTTTAATTAATATTACTGTATTCGTTGCTAAATTACTGTCTCCAGCAGTTATTTAACTGTCGGAGACAGTAATTTAACTGTTAATTGACTTTTTTATTCTTAAAAAAAGTATTTTTTAATTAATATTACGTA